ATTGGAAAAGGTTTAACCCGGTATACTTTTTTTGTTATTAACTTATAAACAAAAAATAACTCCTCTCTGTGGATTAACTTATAAACAAAAGAATAAAAATAAATATTTTAAACATAATGTAAAATACACCCCGATTATAAAACATATGTACAAATTGATGTTCGTAATTTTTTTCTTAATTTCAACTGATGAGTTTGTCCAACATCGGTTGCAGGATAATATTTAATCTTTTTATACGATTTTAGCGATACTCATTAAGTTACGCCCAAGATTTTTTCATATTGTCGTATAATTTCTCACTTTATCTCATATTTGGCCCCAAAGTATGTTGTCACGCTTCAGTTGGCAGAGGCCTGAGCATGCATGGGAGTTGAATTTTTTGGTTGCAAGATGAGTATTTGGTCTGTTTATATGGTCTTAGATAATGCTTATCTTATAAGCTAGTTTTTGAGGTTAAGTTAGGTTTAAAATATATTTCCTTTGTTCCAATTTATGTAACATTTTTTGTTTTTCGAGATCCAAACTTATTAATTTTGACTGAGAATTTGAACATAGAATTTTCAAAATAAAATTTACATATTTAAAAACTACGTAAGTATTATAAGTCGCAATAATTAATAATTCAAAATACTTAATTATGATCAAAGAATAATTCATTTGAGTCTCGAAATTCGAACATTGTCACATAAATTGAGACGAAGAGTAATTCTTTTATCATTTCGAATAATTGTTTTTCGAACATCTACTCAAATTTCGTTCAGATACATACTCTATACCTTCAAAGTGAGTATTCTAATAACTTTATAATATACATTAAAAAAATGAATATGCACGAGGGGACAGTTGAAAATTGAAATTCAAAACATTTAGTCAAGGTCAATATGTAAGGCTCATAATTAATGAAGAAGGATCAACGTCAATCTTCAAACGTTGAATGTTGAAAATGCTTCTGCTCTGTCTGATGCTACGACTTTTCTTCCCTCCTCTTATTATTTTATTTTTTTGCTTATTTTATTTGTTTTATTAGGAATTATTGCACAAAAAAACAGTTTTAAATGAGTGGTACGTGCATATGTATTTTTATACGAAATTATTAACTAGGTTTATATATTTTCAACAAATCATGACTTTGGAATAAAATAACTAGACTAGAAGAATATTCTTTGGTCAAACTAATAAGAATGCATGCATCAGAACCTATACTGAAGAAAATATTGTGTCAAGGTTGTATAATAATAATAATAATAATAATAATAATAATAATAATAATAATAATAATAATAATAATAATCCTTTATTACCGTACGAGATTGAAGTATGCAATATTGTTTTAATTCTCAGCTGTTTTCTGTTCATGTAAAGGAGAGTTTATGTGATGTTAAAATAAAAGATCTTTAGATTCAGTTTAAGCCCCTAAACTTGTGTCATAGGCCATAATACCTCTCAAACTTTTGATTAATATCAAAGAAAACCCTCTTACGTAATATTATGTGTGTTGCTACCATGCAAAGTAAAATATATTATGTAAAAATTCATTTAAATTACAAAAATGTAGATATGAACCCACAATTTTAAAAATATAATGGTTCAATGCTAAAAACCTTAAAAGTTGAATCAATAAGAGTCGTTTGGTTGGGAAACAAGTTATACGATGATTAATTATCTTGGGATTAGTTATCCCACCCTCCCATAGGGATAAAAAAAATACTACAATCCCGGAATAACTAATCCCGTGATTAATTAATTATACCACGATTTTATCCCAACCAAATTGTCACGCCCCGAACTTGGGCCTGGACGTAACACGACACTCGGTGCCTGACTACATGTGACCGAGCGAACCAACTGACTGGCTGAATCAACATGTGATATCATAACATACTGAATGCAGAAGATAAACTAACACATGCTGATATACTGAAAGTCTGAATGATATAAATCAAAGTGCGGAAATACTATTACATTTCTGAAATATATTTGTAGCCAACATAGCTTAATGTGAAAAACCTGTGACTCTGTCTAACTGTTACTCTAGTCTATGAAGTCTCTAATGAAGTACTATAAACATTGACTGTCTGAAAATACTAAAGACTATAGTAATGATAATGCCCCGAAAGAACTGGGGATCACCAAATAGCTGGTACAAGAATCCTAGCGCTCAGAATCATCAACCTGTAAATCATTACCTGCATTGTGAGATGCAGGCCCCGGGCAAAAGGGACGTCAGTACATTTGAATTGTACTGGTATGTAAAGCAACTGAAAGAAAGAATTATAAATGTTGAAACTGAAACTAAGCAGATAACTGAGAATTTATAATTGATAACTGAAATAATAACTATTGAAAAATGAAACTGAAATGATAACTGATAACTGAACTGGTAACTGATATGATGAACGATAACTAATAATTGAACTGAAAGGAAGTAAGGATATGAATACTCCATCTTCTGAATGATGAACAACCTGTTTATCTGAATATTAAACTGCGGCCTCAGGCCCAATATATTATATGTGCACAAACTGCGGCCACGGGCCCAAGTATACGTATACATAACTGCGACCTCAAGTCCAAAATGCATAAAGCATAAACTGCGGCCTCAAGCCCAAATACAAGTGTTCAACATTCAGTGATATAAAATCAGGAACTAAGAATCATACTGTAATATATGATAGTGAAATACTAAATCACACTGAGTTACATGATACTGGAATACTAGATCACACTGAGTTAGATAAAACTGGAATACTGAATAGGACTAGACTGGGACATGTATTCTTGAACTGATTATGAACACTGAAACTTCAACTGTTTATGGCATACTGAGTAATATATACTAAGACTCAGGGGCATCAAACCCAAGTCTATATTGAATACGCACTGAGCTCACAATGTTCAGAATGAAAGTCATGAATGAGTTATGAAGCTAAAGAATAGAAGTTCTACAACTATTCAAGGAACTAGGCTAAACTATATTTCTGAGGCAATTAGTAATGTCGTAAAAGAAACGTAGTGTAGGGAGAATCATTAAAATTCTCAAACATAGAGAGTTAGCCTCACATACCTTAACTTCCTGCTCTTGAGAATAATACAGCATTCGCCAACTCTTTCAACTTTAATCTATATCAATACAAGTCAAAGAGATTCCAAATTAGCAACAATAGTCATGTTTTGGTCACTTAGGCATTTTATCAAACACTCGGTGGCATAAAGCTTCATAGCCCTTATTAATGGTGTCTCTACACCCAATAATCCATTCTCTTGCTCCTAAATAAATTCTAAAGTCTCAAATGGTTATAATCAGCATTATTCTTTATCACCCATAAGGCAAACGACGCCCTTAACCAACAATCAACAATCAATAACACAAACCTATAATCGTTCATGCTTTTCTATAAAACCCATCAACTCATATCTCATGAACTAGATTCAATAATCATTAATTCAATGATAGAATCAATTAGAGGGTGAAGATATTACCTTTTTGACGTTCAATCTTCTTGAATTCGAGTTCTAGGGTTTCTTCTCTCAACAACGATGTCCCAATCGAATATCTAATGATATGGAGGGTTTACCCATGTTAATAAGATGTTGAGAAATTGAAATTAACTTAGAATCACCATTAAAACTTACCTTGTGTGGTGGAGGGACCCTTAAGGAGTTAGGTTTTTGAGAGCCTTCCTTTTGGAGCAAGTTTTTATGTTTTGGGGCTGTGGGGGACGAAATAGGGCTAAAAAAACGACTTCCCAAGTCGTCCACCGCGTCCCAATTGGCGCGACCGTGGTCCCGACCGCGGTAAATCGCTGGGATACTACCTCACCACCGTGATCGCGGTAAAAATGCGGCAGGACCGCAGTGGTTACACACCATTCTGTAAAATAGGTATAACGTTTTGCAAAGATCTCCGTTTGGGATCCAAAATATATCGTTGGAAAGCTATTTCAAAGGCCTACAACTTTCATGCTTTTAGTTTTTTCAAATTCCTTACACATTGTTACCTTCTGCAAACTTAGTCGATTTTGTCAAATCTTATGCACCTCACTTTCCATCTTGATTTTGAAACAACTATTTTTGCCCATAATCATCCCAATGGGACTTCACATGTTCAAAATATAACCTTTCTACTCCTTTAACTCATTCATACCTAATCCAAATGTGTGGGGTGTTACATTATCTCCCCCTTGGGACCATTCGTCCTCGAATGATTGTCCTGACTGTAATTTCTGCTAACTCCGGACCTTAAACGGGTCTGGTGGAAATATGAACTTTCATAAACACTTGCATACTAAACTGAATGAATACATGACTACTAAACTTTTGAGATAGTGAACTGAATGACCACCATATTGACTGAATATTGGTCTGTCATAGATACATAAATACTGAACTAATATGGATATATGAATATTAAACTGGCACGAATATTCGAGTATTGAACTAACATCAATATCAGAGTACTAAGGTAGCATGAATGTCTAAGTATTGGACTAACATGAGTAGTTGAGTATTGAGCCGACATGAGTATTTGAGTACCGAACTGACATGAGTGTCTGAGTATTGAATTGACATGAGTATCTGAGTACTGAACTGGCATGAGTATCTGAGTACCGAACTGACATGAGTATTTAAGTGCTGGAAACTTGAATGTTATAACATGACACGTGAAATACTAGTTGTACCACCGCTAACTCTGGTGGTAACTCCAACTCTTAAGCTAATTGACCGATCCTTTACAAGATTCTATATGGCCCAACATAGCAGGGACTACGCTTCCTCTTCTTTTCAAATCTCACAACGCCTTTCACAGGCAAAACTTTCAGAAACAACCAATCATCAACTTGAAACTCTAGGTCTCTATGTCGCACATTCGAATAGGACTTTTGGCGGCCTAAGCCTTCTTCAAACGCTCTTGAATCAACTTAACTTTCTCTATAGTCTGATAGACCAAATTTGGTCCCATAAACTCCGCTTCTCCATCTTCGAACTAAACAATTGGTGATCTACACCTTCCCATACAGAGCTTCGTATGATGTCATCTTGATACTAGAGTGATAGCTGTTATTATAAGCAAACTCAATGATAGGTAGATGATCGTCCCAATTACCTTTAAAATCAATAACACACGCCCTCAACATATCCTCAAGAGTCTCAATGGTGCGCTCCGCCTGGATATCTGTCTGAGGATGAAAAGCGGTGCTGAGGTTCACCCTTGTGCCCAATCCCTTCTGAAAGGATTTCCAAAAGTTTGCTGTGAACTAAGCACCACGATCTGAGATAATGGACAAAGGAGTCTCATGCAATCGGACAATTTCTTTGATATACAACTTGGCATAATCCTCGGACGAATCTATAGTCTTTACTGGCAAGAAGTGAGCTGACTTGGTAAGTCGGTCTATAATCACCCAAATCGAATCATGCTTCCAAAACGAGCGAGATAGACCTGTTATGAAGTCCATGTTTATCATTTCCCATTTCCAAATGGGAATTTCTATATTCTGAGTTAAACCGCCAGGTCTCTGGTGTTCGAATTTCACCTGCTGACAATTTAGATACTTAGCCACGAAGTCTGCTATATTCTTTTTTATATCGTTCTACCAATAAACCTCCTTAAGATCATGATACATCTTTGTGGTACCTGAGTAAATAGAATACCTGAAATTCTAGGCTTCTAGCATGATCTTCCCTCTTTAAGTCCATCTATGTTTGGAACACACAATCTGTCGTGGTACCTCAAAGAACTATCATCTCCCCCTTATTCCAAATCTATCATTTTATGCCTGTGAATCCCCTCTTTCAGCTATAACAAGTATGGATCATCAACTATTTCTCCTTCACTCCGCCTACTAGGGGGGGACAAGTCATATTCTAGACAACAACTCTACTATCTTTGGAGTACGCAAATTGAACTCCTAGCTAGGCTAAGCGGTGAACTTCTTCCACCAGAGTTGTCTTATCTACCTCGATCATGAGTTATACTTACCACTCTTGATTATCTTCTTAAGAACTTTCTTAAAACACTTATAGAATTGTTGTGAGCTAAGTCTTTAACCAGTACTCCGAAGACTAGAGTCTCGTGCAATGGCACTACCCTCGTGACACATAAATAGGCATGATTTTATAGCTTTTTTGTGATCACTTTGTCATCAATAACTAAGCTCAGTGATCATTCTAGTTTGGTTTTATCCGAAGTTTGGAGCTGTCTTTGTTTATTATGTACTCACTTTGTGTTTCTTACACATGTTAGACATAATCCCTGTGGTAATTATACAATTTTTCCTCATTACCAAACTGATTTTCTTTTTCATATCCCATGCTAACTATTCGGGTTTCAAATCTCTAAATGGACTTACTGAAAATTTTCACATCACCCCTTAGACCAAAGGTCTTATACCTGTGGATCCTTCTCTTTTTGTTGGGATCCAAATAACTTTCTTTATCTTCTGCAACTCTCTGCACTCTACGTCAATAACGAGTCATCTTCCAACTTACTTCTGAGAAATCTTTCTTATTAGGAAAAACTAAATTATTCACTTAACGGAAAGCTAATGGATTAACAACTATCATACACATACTCTGCTCACACTGTCAATCCTGGGGATATCCTTTTTCGATAATTCTTAAAGGCTATTCTTCTGTAGTTTTCTCTCTCACTGCCTAGTTGATTTTTTTCTCCACTGCTACTGTACTTCGAGTTTAACTTAAACTCTTTGGGGTCTAACACACGTTCGGTATCAAACTGTCATCCACTCACTATAGTCAACCTAGCTATGTGAATCAAATTGTACCTCTACTAGCTCTGTTGAAATTGTTATTGTGAGCATGTGATTTTTGCCTTATATGTATTACTCCAACAAATTCAAAACAAAATAATTTCTGTCAGTGTTTGCAATTTTGTTGGATTTCGTGGCATTTTCTGTTAATTATTTGCATTTGTCTGTGCACGTTTATTTTATTTAATTCATGAAAAAAAAAATATGTTGCATCTGCATTTAGGATTTAATGTTATATTTTTAGATTAATTAGCAAATTAGTTTGTTTATAAAAAATAAAAATCACAAAAATAATTCATTTTGCATTTTTACTCTTTAATTTTGAATTGTGTAATTTTTCTTTAAATTTAGGATTTAATTAATTATTGTAAATACCATGATGAGTGATTAATCTAATTGGGTAGGTTAATTTAGTTTAAAAATAATTATTAATTAATATAGGATTTATTTTAATTTTGGAAAAAAGAAAAAAGAAGTGTGAAATTGGAAAAGAAAAAGAAAGAAATAAGAAGGTTTAAATCTGGGCCAAAGTCAATCCAAATTTCCCATTCCAAACGAAATTACCCGTTCAAATCAGCCCAAATTCGTGTCCAACCCGGTCCGGCTTTCCCCCTCAACCAAACGACGTCGTTTCAGCTCCTTTCATCTGGACCGTTGATATTGCCTAATCCAACCGATCAGAATTGGGGGNATTTGAATTTCAAATCAGAGGTTGAATCATAAAATCCCCAAAGTTGCAAACCGAGGTTCCATGAAAGATTTTAGGCCCAAATCGAGGTTATTCGTGTGTCTTTGATATTAAGGACACATGATTAACTTCGGATTGGGTCGAAATCAAAGAGTTCGAAGTTCTCCATTATTTATGTTCGATGCTCTCTCTTTAGGTAATTTTCTTTCATTTTTCTTTTCTCTTTTCTTTTCTTTCTCCCACTGTTCTCTTCTGTTATTTCCCTCTGTCCGTCCGTTTTTGTATGTCTCGTCTTAGTTTAGTTTTGAAACTAGTCTCCATTTCTCTTTTTTTTTTTTTTTTATCCTTACTATAAAATTGTGGGCTGAAGGGGATTTTTAGCCTGAGTTCTATGAATTGAAGTATGTTTGGCTGTTTTATATATTTGGTCGTTTGAGTTAGTGAATTAACCTTGAGTCCAAAAGAAAGGGGTCAGCCCAGGTTCAACTTGGCCCACATTTTGGTCTGAGGGTTAGAAGGTGAATAACAAGGGGTTTAAGGGTTAGTTTAGGAAATTTAGGGTAGGGGAATCTTATGTAACAACCTTAAGAAGCCTCCAGGAAATGGGATGAGGGACTGTGTTTGAAATTCTGATAGTTGATTAGGGGTATTTTAGCTAAAACGAAAATTGGAAAGGGGAGTAAGTGCAAGTCTGATTCTCTTAGGGCTGCCCTAATGCTTTGCCTATAAAGGCATCTCTATCTTGCATTTCAAGGAGGAATTCAGAGATAAGAGGAGGAAAAATTCAGAAAAATAAAAAACAACTAAAATTTCATAAAAAATCACTGTTCCATTGAACCTCTTCTGTGATTTCTGAGGTTCTCAATTTCTGACTCATCTGGGGTAAAAATGGACTAAATTTGGGTTTTAAAAGTCTGGTTTGAAGTTCGCTGTGGTTATTGCTCAATTGGAACTGGATTTTGGACTGTTGCACATCATGTTTCTATTTGAAAATTGGTTCTGCTGTTGCTGCTTCTTCTAGATTTCTCACCCATTTTTCCTTGTTTGATTGATGCAATCAGGTACATATTCTTGGACTATACTAGATGCAAAGCAAGTTTGAAGTATGAAATGAAAATGGATGTTCAAAGCATGACATCAAATTCTCTGTTTATAATCTAGTTGTCTTTCTTTGAATTACATGGTGTTACGTCCAGATTCATAGTATTTCTTAATCGTTCCGTAGTTTAATCTCTGAATTCCTGCCATTGTATTTAACCTTGGACTGTTAAGATATGGATTTGACTTAGTTGAACAATACGTGAGTTGTATGGTAGCGTTTGATCCCAGGTTAATTTTATGGTCATTTGTTATATTTTGGGATTAAATGGCTTCAGAGTCTATTGTTTGGCTTGTGAGCAACAGGGGTGAAAGCATTAAGTGTCTGATGCTAGGAGTTCTGTTGAAAAACTTTAAAGCTCAATGCAATTGCTTGAGAGATATTTTTGGATTGTATTTACCCCTCTTAAAGTCAGTACTTGAATTCTGCCTCCCTGTCATCAGTATTTGAATGCATGAATGATATTTGCTTTAGACTTGTGATTTAACTTTGTGATATCGGGAGCCTATTTCTCCAATGAGTATATTGTTTACTTTTAGCTTGGGACTGTTAAATTCATTTGGGAAATCAGAATCGCTTGAGCATGAGTGTAGGGGTTGTTTGTAAATGTGAGCTATTTTATCATATATTGCATGAGCTTAATATCGTTAGTCCAGTTACTGAATTTTTCTTTTAGCGGCAAACTCTTTTTTTGATTTGGGCTTTATATTGAGCCCAATTGCATTCTCATGTCCTGTTCAAACTATTGGCAATTGGTTGTTAGCACATAGCTAGCCTAAATTCTTTTAACAATCAAATGTGGGTTCCGTTTCTAATAATCACTTAGCTTTCAAATCGCAAAGTAGTTTGGTTTGAAATTAAATCAGAAGTTCAAGTAGTCCTTTAATAAATTAACTGGGTTATTAAGGTGATTTCGAGGTGAGTCATATTATGCGAGTTATAATAGTGGCCTTCCATGGTTAGTTCAAATTCTTAAAATGCATGGCCCTCTACTAATTTCTTATGATTTAGATATAAAATAACAAATGTTCGTAGTTTGCTTTAGGCCCGTTCAATATACCGCCGTGATTGTGGACACGTTCGCATGACATGATTACGATTTCTAAAAACGAAATCGGAGTATGCGTTCGCGCAACTTCGGCTAAACTTTCTTAATAATAATAAGCGTTATTAATTATGGACACGTTCGCGTGACATGATTTTTGACGCGCCAAAAGGAAAAGAGTATACATACGCGTAACTCAATTCTTTAACTACGAATAATCAAGTGATTTAAAGCGGTTAATAGATAAATGCGCATATGTCCTAAAAATGAGTATTTAAATAATTTAAGCCAAGTATAAATTGCTAAGCGACCGTGCTAGAACCACGGAACTCGGAAATGCCTAACACCTTCTCCCGGGTTAATAGAATTCCTTACCCAAATTTCTGGTTCGCAGACTGTTAAACAGATTCAAGCTTTTCCTCGATTCGGGATTCGAACCGGTGACTTGGGACACCATAAATTATCCCAAGTGGCGACTCTGAATTAATAAATAAACAATCCTATTTCGATTGTCCTTTAATTGAAAAAACTCCCTTGAATTTATATCCTTTATGGGGTGTAGGTAAAAAGGAGGTGTGACAGCTATTTCACTGTATCAACTCAAAACTTACTCATTATTCTTT